AAATGCAAATGCATTAGCATTTCTACGGAACAAGTCGCCACATGTTCCAACCCCCAACCTGGAGGGCCAGGAGACTGTGTTCGTCAGACCTCTAACCATTGACCAACCTGGTATGAGAGACTCTGTGAGTGTCGCGGGACACTCTCCAGTATAGCTCAATGGATCGCTGAGGTGCGCAAACCGTCACACCACGGTAAGGTCCAGTCTCTTCGTAGCAACAGTGGCGTTGATGGAAGATGCTAATATATTTCACAAATGATTTCAAACACCTAGAGTGTGTTGTGATGGGCCACCGTCCAAATACACAGTGCACTAAAATGGGATATAAACATAGTTGTTATCGAAGTGGTGCAAAAACTTGTCCAATTGTAAGGTGAACACGGCGTGGAATAAGGAGAAGCCTACTTGGGTATGAATATATCGGCCGTCATTGTTACCGCCGGGCAAAACCCATAACATGGTTGGTATTTGTACAATTATGGCATACATTACTGGTTCTTCAAACGGAACAGAAAAGGGTGAGTCAAAATGCGGCTATATCGAGCTCAACAGCTCAGCATTCGGATACATGGAGGAGGCACCAAACAACGCACTACTACATCCAAAAGAATTGAAATAGGACCTTTGGTAAGGGTTCCTATGTTACGGAAATAAACGGGGAACATATGCGAGGCGTTGAGCGTACGGACTAAAAGATAAACTGTGGCGAATTTTTGCGTTTAATATCGCACAAACGGACAGTGAAGTGCCACGTGCGAACAGAAGTCAGTGATTGATACAAGGGCTCTCAGACGAGATCCCTCACTACATTTGCCGCAATCTATAAATGATCGAAGAGTTAAAACCATTCATCTCATCGATCCATCCAAAAAAGAGATACGATACGCTGAGAAGACAAAGGAAAACCGGATGGTTGGTCAATATTCTATTTGTACTAATAAGACTGATAAGAACTTGTATGAGTGGAACTTATGGGTTGCGTGTAGGGTGCCATATTAAACACACTCCAACAGAAGTGTTCCCGCAATCGTGAGATACGCTAAACCAGGGGTCGTCACCTGTCCATGGATGGTGAACTGGTGAAATGAGCGTAAGTTTAGGCAGACAAAAGGACAACATTCTGACAATTCATAAGCAGCTTGGCAATTTGGAACGTTCGTGGATAAGATGTCGAAAATACTCGATTTCGTGCAATGCCCCTGACAATGGTAAAGTATTTGCAAAGAATATAAACTGGATCAGTGCATAAGAAACGGGGCCAACCTGCTCAAGTCCACAGAGTTTATCCACACCTTGACGGAATACGTTCATACATGCTTCAGTGATATTATAGGCCGCAGTATAACTAGATGCTTCACTCTGATATTGTGGCATTCGCTTGATTATATTGCTCAGCTCACGGAGTCCAAGGGTACCCTTTTCACCCGGTTCCAGAGATGCTGCCTTGTTGTCAAAGCCACCTTCAGATGAGGACTCACGACTCTGTAAACTCGCGAATTGTTTCTTGCTGTCTGCAAACTCTCGAACACGTTGAGGTAGAGTTCTACGGGGAAATGTGTAAAGTAAACCGATGAGGTTAAAAGTGATATAAGGACTGCAGGTGTAGTCTTTTATGGAAGTGAAAAGAAGAGTTAATACAGAACAAGGCTTATGTTACAAAAATTTTCGACCGGTACCTGAATGAGTTGTTCGCTTGCAGCTAATAGCTTCAGCCAACAGAAGCCTTATCATCAAGGAGACTTGGAGATGTTGCAGGATTCCCGCTTGACATCTCTTGCGACAAGGTGTGACCCGAAGAGACCAAGCAGGATTCCAACCTAACACAACACGCTCAGTCAAGCATCAGAGCGACGGCACATGAACATATGACCCACACTCCTGGTATGCCTTGACTTTAGGAGCGTATGCTATTCTTCTGGTGGGTCGGTTTTTTAAAAGGCACCTGTAAACCAAGTTGTTTCTACGAAGTTTGTAAACATCGCATATTCTCCACAATCACACCGCTAGCTTGTGTGACACTGCGTACAAACCACCCGAAAATATAGCGTCCTACAAAGATTTCAACTATCCCCATTTCGGATTAATTTTGTCGCCGGTGAATCCGATGTCCAACCGTAATACAACTCTGGATAAAGAACTTAGAACCTCCAACGGCTTCGGAAAAAGGGAATGCATTTTCTCCCTCAAACGTCCTGACGCATTTCCACCCGCGCTGTTTAAATTCTCAGTCTGCGTTTGTCTAACATACCTGCCCCTATCTGGGCGGAAGAGAATATCCGAGCCAACTGGAGGGAATCGATGGTAATGCCCATTTAAAAAAGGACTTTCAATGAGTTTGGCTGTCACTGAGGGATTAGCTTGATCCCCATTGTAACCAAACTCTGCACCGCTTATTTGAAGTCGTCATAAAATAGCGCAAGAAGACGTAGCTCAAGAACAGCAAGCAGGATTCCAGTCGAGATTGTGTTGTGTGTGCCACATCTACACACTCCGTCAAAGTTAAAGCGACGCATAACGGCGCCCAACATCATTAACTTTGATTTTGCCGATCAGTTCATTCTTCTCAACATGCTTGCGCAACAGGAAGTTCACGAATACCCTATGCTCTGTATTCACATTTGTATGGGCACATGGGTGTACGGCGAGCTCTTGAGAGGCTTTCATACAAGCAGCGGTGACCCATAAGGGTGATGACTTTTCACTTTTGTTTAGCTTCTTCATTGATTAGGCAGGAGACGAACTCTGAATGGTTTCCAAAGCCCCAGTGTGCTTATTTTTCCGAGCGAAGACCCTCCCGATTTGAAATGTGCAGACAGATTGTTACCATCTTTGGAAAAGAACGGGAAGCGCAATTGTTACTGTAAAAGCTAACCCAGGCCGTCCAATCACTCGTTTGCTTCGCACTCACAAAGTGCAGTCATGTTATTGGACATATAATAAATAAATAAATCGTTCTGCTGTAACACCCTTTTGGTGCCTAGCTGCCATACCACCCGGAGGAAAGGCGAGAGCTGGGATACTGCCAAGTTGTCCAAGTCTAGGGGAAGTCGAGATGCAGATGCCTAGTTCGAACTAGACACTCTGGTCAGTAAATTCGCGCTCTAACCACTGAGACATCTCGCCATATATGGTCTTGGAACATGCCTTTGAGAAATCAAGGAGTAACGCCGGGGTAGAACGCTATAAGAATCTCCGAAGTTGCATTGGCTGTGATGGTAGTGACACAGGAAGTCAACGGGTGAATCTCACTGACCAGAAGCACATTTGCCAATTGGCTCCACTTGTTGCGTCAAAAAGGTCACAAAGGATGCGTGTATCAGATTTTAGTGTGAACTTTATCACCGTACGGGTGTTACATCGGTTGGAGGGTCTGAGACCCCTTCAGGTCTCTGATCACTGATATCTCGGTTAGAGCCAGTAAATTTGTAATGTCACATCTTTGACGAAATAGAAGATATTCCACTCAAAAAAAGTATCTACATGTTACGCATGCCAAATGACCATCTACCGTGAACTGCAATGTTTTCCATGTCTAAGTTAGAGTTAGAGGTTGACAAAATACGGCGAGGAAGAGGGGAGTAAAGGATGTTTCAAAACGCATGACTATTGTTCACCTTCTCGGATAGTGCCCATGTGACCCACTCTATGCCCGGCCGGAGGTACTGAAAGATAAGCTTTTTTCAGTGGTATTCATGCTATCAGTTTCTGTCCAAGCTGACTACGTAATGTGATAGGCTAGCTTTAGGTCAACCTCCTTATCGGATCTTTCTTCAATTCAAGTAAATGGACGTTAGTACGGTGGTGAGGCACCCGTGTTGTCCCCCTAGTGTTTCTGTGATTGATGACTATGTGGATGATTGTGGTGAGACGACGAGGCGGAATCTGGCGGATTCTAAAACCACAGCGTTCGCATTACTACTGAAAATAACCCAGCTCGTCTCGAGGATAAAGAACATACTTTCTTCCTCTATAGGCGCACATATTATTAGAAGGCGAAGGATAAAGTCATGTATTACTATCTACAACCTTAAGCATGCAATGGCCGTCCAAAGAAAGGCACCGGAGGTCGCAAACGCTATGTATATACCGGAAGTTAGTGTGCCAATTGAAGTTCCCATTAGAATCTAATGAGCCGAAATTGAACTCTAATCTCGTAGAAGTCCCTGTGGTATTTCATTTGGGTCTCAGGAAGCACGCGCACTAGCGTTTGCGACACTTGGCCTTTGCCAAAAGGGTGAACTTCGACGACCCCAGACAAATTGGCTGCCAACCCCAAGCTGGATGATGATCTGTACATATGTTGCTCCAAGAATAAGCGCTCAATAAGAATTTTTTTCTACTTTATTCTACATCCCCGACACCGGCGTCCCAGAATCCCGATTGAAATAGGCTGAAAACAACAAATCTGCAATGAGATGATCAGGCAGCAGGTGCTTCACCCGACACTACGGGCTGTGGTGGCTCGGCCCTGCGCTGTTCATACCGAGTGGTCGTTCGCCGAGAACAACGCGGTTCTGCATGGCGAATTCAGAACACACAGCAACAGGTGAACTGAGCGAGACTCGACAGAAGGGAGTGAAATACTTCACCATCATCATCGATAGGAATACATCAGTAGTAAACCCTGATACCTACCATGCAACCACGAAGAAAGAACAGTGAAAAGATAAAAGGATGGGGACTTATTAACAAAGTGCCTTGTAACGAGAAAAGGCACCAAGAAACAACGTCTAACCATGCTGCGTGAATTTTCCGCCAACAATCGTTTGGAAGAAAAAGCGGTGCTTTCTCTGACGGACGGTGGCTAAGCATGCGCAGTACACATCCCAACCACTTTATATTCCGCTTTAGCTATTTCGATTTGCGACCAAGTACTCGCTTACGAATCAGTCCGTTGCGCACATGCTGCAGTTGGTTGACACCCGGTGTGCTAGATGAAGCTGTGATCATACGACCGGAGACCAAGCTAACCGAATTAAGACAGCTTTCACAGCTACCCTGTCCACAAGGTCAATCAGCTCCACCAAAGTTTATTTTCGTTGCCATGAATGACATAAGTTGGCAAGTATTACTCGCGCTCTAATAAAGCGTGCAGTGAGTTCGATCGAAGCACGATTAAGATTTCAGGGCGGACAAAACTCTTTCTCCCGGTATCATTTCGACTCCTACAAGTACGGTTCCCCATAGAGTGCATTCACTGATGACGCCAATGACAAAGCTGAACGAAGGGCAGGATTAGAGTTTATCACGGCGTGCCTTACTGGCTGTGATAAAATTCTTTGACAGATCACTGTAAACTCTTGCTCGAGTAGAAACGTTCGGATGGAAAGTAGGAAGTATGTTTCAAGATTTCAAGGGCATTCGACTTGGGATAAGTATATATTTGGGAGCTGACCTACCTATGAAATGGAAGACTCCTTTGGGGTCGATGCCAGTTTTACGTGCGGTGCTACCCAAGCATCTGAAGTAGTGTAAAAACGCGGTCGAAATCCTGCTTGGTGCTCCTAGATTTGAGTCTCGCGTGTCTAAACTAGACGTTGAAACATTAGGAGAGCTCGTAGTTGTACAACAGGTTGCTGTACAACAGGTGTGAGACTTATCTATATGAATGAAACAATCGCCTTGAGTGCCATGAACCACTGATTCCGGTTCTTTGGAGAACGCTCATACATCCAAATAAGCTGAAACAATGTAATTAAAGCAGAACAGAGACAAACCACCATCTTTGACTAACGCCAGTGGATGCTCACCAGGAGCGCGACTGCGTTTTAAGCCAGAATGACACATTGGTATCTTAGAGACTGAGGACCTACTGAGCGGAAGGTCCGTTGTTCGAATCCAAACCCAGATTTTTATGGTCCCTGTCTATGCTAGGGCAATCTGGCAGCACGTCAACCCCCGTGCACCTTTCGATTTACTGTGCAACTCAAAAGGATATCACAACTGAACGGCTGTTTATTACCCATTAAATTATACTGGATTTGCGATACCATATCTGATCAACTTATTAGCGAAAGGCCCCTTGGTTCCGGTTTTTCGGATTAGCTGAAATAGTCACCGTGCACTAGGTTCCTCCGTTTCACTGAGCCCCTCTGTCCACACACAGGCCTCGTTTGAGCTGACGTGTAACTGAACGTCTACCGAATTATCCTCTAACTCAGAAAGTATATAGCGCCTTGCACTAAAGCTGATCGTTCTCAGATTTAGTGGTTAATGTGCTTGCGCTGAAAAAGGCCAAGAGCATCTTCGAACATTACATGTATTAAGGGTTGTTTTCTGTAATTAAAACCACTACCCTTCTAGGGGGCTGCCCACAAAGCATCGCGTAGTAAGTTTTGGTACATTTCGCTAACCTGTGATCCACACAACGCTCCTACTACCGAACAGGGAGCACATTTACCTGGAAAATTTGATGAAAAACAGATCGGACAAAAGCATTATCTGAATCAATCTGTGTACCAGAATAACCAGTAATCCAGAATTGGACGTCGGTGTATCAGAAAGAGGATACACAGAGTACACCAGGTAGAGCTAAATAACACGAAGAAGCTTGTAACTTCCTGTTGTAACTGTGAAGCTTCTTGACTCCCTGAAATGCCGATGGTTAGAGAGAAACACAGTTGTAGCTACTAGCTACTGAAAGCTCGAGAATATAATCGGAAAACAGATCATACGTCTAAAGCTTACCTGTCAAAGTCTACTTTCCTTCTGCAGACAGGATGAACCGGTTACCAATGGGTTCATTCAGTAGTGATACCACCGAAACAAGCTACAGTTTGTCTTAAGATGTTTGAGCCATAAATACATAGAGTTAACCCCCCAGAATAGTTCCATATCACCTCTGCGTTTTTGGAGAGCGCTCCACAGCACAAGTAGCGTACCAGAGATGCTTGAACTAACATATTTTTGGTACTGTGCTGAACCTAAACCAGGTGGTGGGGATGAACTAACTTTGTGACATCGGCGATGTGCATGTGTTTAAGTTCCTTCCAAAGTGTATCCTGACCGGTCAAATCCACCTTCTGGTTGTTGCCATAACTGAAAAAACAAAAACGAAACGATGCTTGGAAGTAAAAACAGACAACATGAGCAGCATAGCTCATCGGTTATCATCTGCATGCATACGCTGGAAACCAAAAATTATTGATGAAGGCTTCATAGGGGCTCGTTCCACTGAGAGTCATGAACACACTATTAAGACAACAGACTTTCAAAAAAATTTCAAACACAGCTACCAAATAAAAAATCGCCTGTATCAGTACGTGACTGACACCAGGCTATATCAGCACATCTTCCTACAATAGTCAGCCTACAGAGAGAAAACGAACTCTGGCCACCCGAAAGAGCAACTATAAATTTAGTTTCCTATTCGTTCCACTTGGAATGTACCGCCTCATTAAACGATAATGATGAAATCAAGTGATGTTCGGACAAGCTATACTTTCAAAAATTCAAACCGAGGTGTTCACAGGGTGATATCTGATAGGAAAATATTTGAAAAATACCGAGTCATCACCAAAACAAGATCTTGAGATGGCCAAGGGGTTGATGCTTTGGGTTTACCGTTTACTCGGATGGTCTGCGATTCGAACTCAACCTCGGCATCTCGACTGCTCCTGTATAGACAGTAGCTTATCCCTCATGCTTTCTTCGAATGGCATGGTAGCTGGGTACTGAAAGGATGTTAGAGCTGGGCGATTTTCAGCTTCATTCAAGCAAGCATGCATTGACCAATTAACAGACGAGAAAAATGAGATTCTATTGTTACCCCATAAATTCATAGACGAAACACATGGGCCTGGATGTTAGGTGGACGCAGAAGTCGAGAATACTGTAATTAGGTCAACATACACGGGGTTATCGAAATCAATTGGGTTTTTCGGAATACATATTACAGACGTTAAACTGCCACCAATTCGTGTAATTAGTTTACATGCCTCTGTGGAGTCCCCCTAATCTAGACAAGAGTTTAAGCAATTCAACAGACAGACCGGGCTCTTGTTCTTCGAAACTGAAGAGAAGACGGTGATATGTTACGGAAAAGAAACAAATCTGGTAGAGTAAAATGAGTCTCTAATTCCGTGCAATTTGGTTTCAAGTAGATCATAAGGTTTGCGGAAACTTGGGGACTGTGCCTACCTGATGAGCCCCAAGAAGGGCGAAACCGGTCGTCGGCTGTCGACGAATTTTCAGCAACTTTATGAGTAGTGCAATACGAATATGAAATGAGTCCCTATTAGGAATAGTAGTATATCAATTAGATTTTCTGATCGCTAGTTTGGCTTCCCTCAGAAAAAACACCTTCTACTAATACTCTATTTTTAAGAATCAAAACAGATAAACGAAAAACTTTACTAGGTGTATCATTCAGCACAACCAACTTTGTCTATACATATTGAAGGAACTCAAAACGGCTGATAGACGGAGGTATATGGCGTGAGTTTATCGAGAAAAAAAGAGGTAAACAGCTTTCACTCACGTGTAAACATTATCCACCACAGTTAGTAAATCATAAGACATAGCTTGTAAAGTTAATTCGTGGAGCAGCGGGGTGATGGGATCAAAACCACGGTCCAAGATAAGCAAAATGCTTCGATCCTTGTGTGTGCCCTGAACGAATGGGGTGAAATACATTGTAATGGGAGTGTGATTCAGGGAGTAAATGGTTGAACAGGCTCATGGTTGTATTGTTGCCTTTATAAGACTATTTATTCCGAATGATATCAGAGACCCAGTCGAGTAACAAAGGACCCAAATGGACAACCGTTCTAACAAGGGCACCGATCTGAACAACCTCACTCGAAAGCTAACAAACCGCTTTCCCACACCTTAAAAGGGTTAATCTAGTCGACTGCTGATAACGGGAAGGGTGGTAGGAAGGCAAAACATTGACCGATCAATCGCCACTCACTGACGAACACGAATAATTGATACAAAAAAGCATAGCTACAAACCCAGCAACAGGAAGGGGGTAAGTAATCATCAGTTTTCAGTAGCAGGGATCCAAAAAAGGTACACAGAAGATCTGACATAGGATTGACCTAACTAAATTTGTGAAAAAAAAACTAGTGCATACCTGACCCATTGATGGGTTACTTTCGCGACATGCGTCAAGCTTCGCCAGTGTCATCTGTGCCAGTTCGAGGTTTGTTTCATCTCTAGACAATAGAACGGCAGATAAACGGATGCGTGATTGTACAGTAACGTAATGTATACTAAAAACAAAACCCAAACTGATTCAAATGCTATGCGAAGTATGCCGCGTTGTTTTGATGAACTACAGAGACGAGAGCGGAATCGGACGCGTTGCTTGAGGATCATTCCTACAATCCGATCAGACGATTTGGATTACACTAAAAGTGGTCACTGAGCACAAAGGGACACAAAAGCGGTCATAAATAATAACGATTAAAATACCTGCAGTGAAACGGCAGATCCAACTATGATTTAGCGATCGAAAAGCCACCTTGAGGTGATGAAACGTGCGTCACTGGATTTAGCCCGGACACTGTAGCATATTCTATGCAAATGAATGTTAACCAAGTTATTGGCGAAAAAGTACTCAAAGCAATATAATACTGGCAAAAGGTGGTAGAAACTCGAATCCTTTAAAAAACCTCTCAGATTAAGACAACAGCTGCATCAGTTGAAACGGACAAAAGGTATAAGCAAACTCAGTTTGAGTACAACATAGCACTTAAAGCACTCAAGCTCTCAGTAAAATGAAGAAACAAAATATGGGGCAAAAATCTGTTCGAGTGCTCAGGTAAGACGCAAGTGAAGGTAAAGTGAGTGTGCAACAACACTACCCGGTCATGATACGCGTGCAAAGACTGGAAGTGCTTGTTCCCCAGAGTTCAGACAATACAGAATTTGTAGATGGAAATAGAAGAGACAGAAACCGGTCCGTTTGAGTCGCACCGTACTTCCCATTGAGGAAGCAATGGCATGTGGTGGCCAACAGTACTAAGGGGTAGTAGGAGAACAAATCGGCTGTTGTGATCCATAGGTGGTCTGCTTTCGCTTAGAAGCATGCAACCTAGGATAGAACAGGTATTAGAAAGTAATGACGGCACATGTCATTGTGGTCTCACAAAAACATTTGGGAGATTCGGAAATCAAAAATTTAACCATTTGAATAAAACCATCTGGTGGTACCTCTGGACTGCAATCAACTTTTAGGCACTTTTAGGAACGGTGTAACAGGCGGGGATCCAGCTATGATACCAAAGCAGTGTACGGGCGCCGCGAAGCAACCATAAAGTAAGGCGCTAGAGTGGAGGGCTGGATCGATCGGCTCCTGTACGCATGCCACTCAAGTGAAGTAGGACCTGGTGAGTAAGAATGGATCTACTTCAAGGTCTGTTCGAGGGCCAGCTGTCCCTAATAACCGAACACCACGCGCTAGAGTGGCTGGATCGATCGGCTCCTGTACGCATGCCACTCAAGTGAAGTAGGACCTGGTGAGTAAGAATGGATCTACTTCAAGGTAGGTCCGAGGGCCAGCTGTCCCTAATAACCGAACACCACATCATTTGGGCGCATGTGTCACGTGCAGGACACGGGCCAGACGTAGGCATGCCCTGATTGGTCAGAGTGCCAGCCAATCCGAGTCAAGCACCTTGACTCGACGGTTCTCGCCCCCTCACGGACATTCTGGTACGACCTTGTGGAACACTCTGTGACTACCCTATATATACAGTTGTAATGATTTTCCTTTGTCTCCATAAAGGGCTGTGTAGAGCTACCGTGCCTTTTGATATCCCATAGTGGGCGGAGCAGGAAGCCAAGGGACCGATACAGAGTTGCA